TTTACTAAGTTGCCAAAGTATGAAAAATTGTTTGCAGTGATGAAGGGAAATTTTGACAAGCCATATCCACGTCCAATTATGATATAACCTATTCATTTACAATGTATCAATCTTGTGCTATTCAAACAAAATCTAAACCAACAGCCAGACTGTGTGGGGCATGTGGCAGGGATGATAAATTTCAGTCTATCCTGCCTCAATGTGGCACCACTGAAATTAACCCTCCTCTTTACATATGTTCTTCATCATCACAATAGCTAAAAAAACTGCACCCAAAAGAGTGGTATCTGATCTCTTGGTAAACAATTACTTTTGCTCCTGTGGGATCAACCACAAATCAAGTTTAACGTTATAAAGAGATGTGTACAAACATGGATATAGAGTCCTTTGGCCTGATAACCCGGCACATGACTCTGACAAGCCTGTACAGGGCAGTTCAAGAGGTGCTTCAATATTCCTGCACCAGTCCCTAATCAAAGATATGGCCTCTTTAAAAACTGATAGAAAAGAAAATACTTTGGAACAAATGTTGGAAATAGATTTAACGCCCAGCTTGCTGATTGGTAAACAAATGGTCTTTTTACCTGAGCTAGTTATCACATGAATATTTTGCATGTTCCAGATGTACATGAACATTGTAAGTCAGTTGCATGTGGTTGTCGGCTGGAAAACAATAAGGGCTTTTAATTTTCCACAGTGCTGCTTGGTGCAACGTTCTGCATAATTGAAACCTGTGTCTCTTCCATGGGGGCTGTGCATGTAAAAACACATATCAGAGAGTGACATACACCTAACTGTAGTACATTTGCATTTCTGAACAGAATTGAGGAAAACAGTTTAGAGCCCAGCAGATGACTTTTGCCCTGATTTAAATCTGAAGATTAGGAGTTCTTGTCTACAATGGTCCATTTTTACTGACTGATCTGGTCCCACTTGGTGCCTGGACCATGGTCCATATAGAGAGAATGCAACTTTACAGTAATAATTCCTGACAGATTTTGCAAGACTTCTGGGCAAATCATGCCCTGGTGTCACGTAGCATCCTACACATATTTTAGAGGAAATGTTTTGCTATCTATAGGAACTCGACAAATTTGTCCTGTAAAACGCAATGGCACATTATAGGCCAATTAACTTTTTGCACTCATGACTTTTTTTTTCTCAAAGCTATACTGAATATACGGTACGCAGAACAAAGCAAGTAACAGGATAATGTTGCTGAAGGGTTTCTTCTTTCAAGGTGTGAAGTGAGAAGGTAAAAAATAAACCTCTTCATAAATTAAAACATTTAACAGCTTAAAGTTTACAACACAGTATGCATCTTCATATTACTAATAGTTTTTGCGATTCTGCTAAATTTCATTTTCAATTGCTATCACATTTCATATTGTGAAACATCGACATAGAAATGTACATCCCATCTTGTATGTCATGTATGTTATGTACAAGCAAGTTCACAGAATCAATCTCATAATGAAAGTAAAAGTGTGGTTTTGGTAAAAGTTTGTTTTTAACTTGGAGGGATAACATTTGCTGGGAAATTACATGTAAATGTATGCTTCATATGTACCATCCGGCATTTCTTTTTCAAGATATGGGTATTCTGGACACAAATACTGAGAGGTTACAACATGCACACACACATAACCAATTGCAGGTATTGGGAGTGCACTACAAAGCCATGTCTCCACAAGGATACAAATTTCGGAATCAGTGAACTCACTGAGTCTGCACTGCCAACTTTGGTAAATGTCTATCCAACTGAGAACAGTGTCAAAAAAAAGTGCTGACTGTAGAGAATTATTGCAAAGACAGATCACGTGGGTCCTCTGGTGATTTTATCAACAAACTACATTCACAGATGTGAACGAGGAAAACATTTGACTCTCTCTCATAACATTTCAACTTCTTATTTAAACCACGTACTGTCCCGGCCTGGGTCTAATTGACCTATTGCCATCAGCCACACCCCTCAGATAATCCTATGAAATTTTGTAGATGAAGTTTTTTGGTCTCATTTTGCACGTCCCAAGTCTATCGTGTTATTGGACAATACTTCAAAAGCTGCAATGATGTGATTCCATTGCGATAAGACAGTTTAATGATGGAATGCGCGCATTTGACTCAAAATAAAAAATTTATCTGTCATCAATTAATGGACCTGGTCCTTTTTGATCCATTTGCTTTCAAGCCCATTTTGCCGGGACAAACAAAAATGCCACCCACTATCTTTCTTTGGTTTCACAATTTCACATAATGAAAAACATGCGTATACATGAGTATTCCTTGGCCCTGTTTCAAAGCAATCTTCTATTGAGTGTTTCATGGTTAAACGTATACATGTACATCAGAGCAATGCATCGAGACAAGCTGTTTTAGCACGGACTTGTCAGATAAATATACATACATGCGCATGCATCATCTGGTAACATTCAAGTCTACAGATATCCAAGTCACATACGTGTATGCATAAGCTAAACTGCATACACGTACCTCAAAAAAATCACTGGAGTTAAAATAACTGGACACGCATGTAGTATAACAAACACAAAAAGCTCCGTAGAGGAGAAATGCAACATGCCATGTTGCTTTTCAAACTTGAAAGGTTCATGAAACACTGTCATAGCAGAGCAGAAGAAAATTCCAATCAAATCCAACTTTGTTTCTAGTTCTTCCTAAAAATACACTGTACTGATGCAGTTCAAGTTTAAATATTAATGCTCAATCAACAATACCACGACAAGCCTACCATAATTCCTCTCATCTCCAATCAAATACATGTATAGACATCATCCAACAAAAACAGCTGGCGTAAAAAGAAAAAACAGTGGCATTAAACTAATAGATAATAATTAACATGTGCTTGACAACACGACAAAACACATAATATGTGCCGAGTCCCAAGGAAATTTTTGTTCCCTTAAAATCTTCCTGAAGCCACAAATTCAACCCTAAAACTTTAATATACCTATCACACGCTCTCTGAACTTGGAACTGCAGGCCAAACAACAGCTTTTGCACAATGCAATCAAATTGCTGCAATAAATCTGGTGTTGATTCAACTTCAAGCAAGGCTTGTAGACACACACCTAAAATGGCAAATGCTTTGATCGTTTTCAACATTTATAGCTGACAATTTTTAGTGTGAGAAAAAATCTCCATGCTGAGAAACAAATGTCTAAAACCACAGAGTCCCTGTATTCACGTTTCTCTTGCTTTACCTAGGGCAGCTGAATTTATGCTACTTAAAAATCACCTTCTTACAACTGGCACAATACTTTCAGCTGTAATGTACATGTACACTGCACTTATATGCTTAAAGGCTTTCTGCTAGAGCTATCCATCAAGGCTGGAAAACTAGCAACAGCTTGACAATTTTAAATACATGTTCCACCAGCTTGATATTTTTAAGGCACCATCATAATGCCTAAAGTCAGATGTGTTTTGTACAAACGGTGCTTCGGTAGGAAAACAAGTTATAAGACGAAAAATGGTGGCTTTTTGTTTTGAAGACAAAGTTAATCTTGTTATGTTAGAGAAAAAAAATACTCTTAGTGTGTTTGAAACTCACTAGGCAAATGAATCTCGAAGTTTTGCATTGTAAAAGGTCAGCCAGGGAAAACATTTTGTGGTAGCTAGACATTGGACACACACACAAAGATGTCCAACCTGTTCAAGTTGTGTCACTAGTAACCAGGGGGTACTTCACTATCATGTAGGGTTCTTTGTACGTGAACATTTCAAATAACCTCAAAATGTGATATGACTAGTGGTAATGTACTGGTACGCTCATCATGTACATTGTGAATTGCAAGATCACCACTTTATGGAAGTAATGCATAGATAGTCTACATTGAAACTGTGACTACATACATGTACATGTACATGTAAAAATGCGCACATGTACAAGAAAAGATATCCTTAAGGATTTTCTACAAGATTAATTTTCTTAATGTATGCCTACATGTGCATGAAATGAAGTGCCCCCATTAAATTCTAAAGAAATAAATTGATATTTGTGCTATTTCTGTCAAATGCAACACACTAGTAGGCAAATGTTTTATGATGCATTCATGACATGAGCCAACAAGTAGCCACATCCCAATGTACATGAACACGTACATCGAACATGCATAATGTACATGAAAGAAAGAAATGCATTCCCCACAAGTCTACGTGTAGCTCCCTGACCGGAATTAAACACGATAAACACAATGCCATGTCATGACATCTATGTGCCATATCATCAGATGTATTTAAAGATGCTGACAAGTTTTCGGTTTGAGTCAGTCTCTCAGAGACGATAAAACGTTTTGAGATTGATACAGCATGATCCCCAATGTAACATTTGTTCTTTTACCTTTAAAACAGAGACAGTATGAATCAAGCAAAGAAACTGTGGTGTCTTAAAATAATTCAAAATGGAAAAGGCCATGTCCAGGCTATGGCATTTGGAATTGAAAAGTTCTCCAACATGAAGCGATGTCCATAAACATCAATAAGTCCCCAAATAAGTGATTTTCATTCTGAAATGAGAAGATGAGCCACCCTTATCTTTATTTATACCCTAAATTCATGTTTGTCAAATGTTATTTTGCATTTTTAAACTTGTTTTGAAAATGGTTCTCGGAGCTCTTTCAGATAGACTCTGGCTTGCTCAAGTCAAGATTAGTTGAATTCACAAGAAGTTTATTTTTCTGTGATGTCTAGCCTGCATGATTATGCCAAATAAAAAGCGCTAGAGGCAAAATATCTAATGCGCAACATTAGGGGACACACTGCATCTACAGGGAGCCTTTAATCATAAATGCTGTTATGAAAGCCAAAGTAAAGTTTAAATTGAAAATATCTGCAAGGCATTTCCTGGACACTATTTATATTCGAAATAAAACAACGAGCATCTCCATGTAAAATCTAACATGTCCATTTTAAGGCATTAACAAAATACCAGTTTTCATCTTTTGTTTCAGGCAATCAAATCTGCAAGTGGTTTAATTTACCTGCAGCCTGACGATTGAGTCGTGCTAGTCTCTCAATGCTGTATGGATCACTGGCCAGAGTGTTGAACACTGTGTCCAAGGCGGGCAGTCGCTGTTCCCCCATGGGCAGCTGCTGCTGGGGAAGTGGCTGCTGTTGGTGCCCCTGGGACACTGCGCTGTATCCCTGTGAGGTGCTGACGTCCGGGTACAGTTGGGCCTGGTAGTCCACCGGTTCTTTGTGGAATGGCTGGAGGGTGGTTCTGTGCGGTTGGGCACTGTAAGGTACACCCATACTCAAGTTACCCTAGTAACAAAGAAGACACACATTATTGCTTAGGTACATGTAGTTTCTAATTGTTTTTTGTGTGGGTGTTTGTTTTTTTTCCAACTCAATCAGAAGTACATGTACAGTACATGCATACAATATGTTATAAAGGGTATCCATTCCATCACAAGTTTGTATTATTAACTCTGCTTGCATGGAAAGCATCCCCAGGACACAGATTCACAAGTGGGTTAGCTCTTCCCCCCCCCCAAAAAAAAGCTTGAATTAATTTTCAGAGACGGTGAAGAAATTCAAAACATGCAATCAAGGTGGACATACATAAACCTTGTGTGACATGGCTGCCCTTCACATTGCTTCTGCACAAAATGGTAAAAGCACCATTAAGTTATTGCTACATTAGCAGAAGAATTACTCCCAGATGGTTGTTCATGCCCTTCCTTGTACATTCCACAACTTACATGTGCGTGTATGAAGTAGCACGCAGGCTGTGGGCCGGCCTGTTTGTTTCACGTGGATTTGGATCGAGATCAGTGATCCGATGCTAGTTCACTGACGCCAGAACCTGTCTAATGGAAAAGCGAACCAGCTTTGGGATCACTGATTGAGATCCAGATATGTGTGAAACAAACAGGCTCTTAAAATGAAGTGATATACATGTGTATGTATCTGCAAATGGTTTTAGTGTTTAATAATCCTGATTCCTCTGATTTTTATACCATTTTCCACACATCCTGGGGTCAGTAAAAGTGAACTTTACTTTGGTCAATCAGGCTTACAATTTTGTTCAAGTGTTTTGTTTGTTTATTTGTTTATTTTTATTACATGTACTTCATATTTATTGCTCAAAAGCAAAACCAAGATCACTTTTGATCCATACACAAATCTCAAACATTTTCCATGCAAATTAAACCTTTAAAATAGGTTCATGCATTCCTAACCATTTTTTACCATGGGAAGCAAATCAGTTTCTAAGATGACAGTTTGTAAGAAGTAATAAGTGATTTCACAGCCAGACATAATTTCAAATATACTGAAGAGCTCCAATAAAGACAGCATTGGCATAAACTGTGACCTGGCTGTCACTGGTACCACACACGTCCATATTTCCAGGACTCAGAAGTGGGGGAAAAAATGAATTTCTGCAAGTGGTTTGATCAGTATCCGTCACATATTTACAGCAAAAAAATCCCAAAGTCCTGCAGCAGACCTGATTCCAAGTGGTAGCTCAAAATAAATTCTGTTCATGACAGTTTACTGTCTATTGCTTACATTTCACCACATGCAACAATATTGATTAAGCTGTAATATCTGACTGTTCAGTAATACACGTACGCCCAAGTATCCCATTTGACATTCACCCCAAAGCAGACGACGTATTTTGAAGAGTATAGTTCTGCAATGATTATTTGCAAGACGAGGGACTGATGCATATTGAATGTCAGATGCAACTTGATAGTGCAGTACAGGTGAATTGCATTAATATGATGATTATGCTTATAACAGTCCTGTGCACATTCAGGAAACTATTGTAATCAGATGTATTTATACGCATTGCATGTTTATTACTGATGTTTTGAAGTTCAGTCTATCAGACCAATAAACAAATAATTACCGGGACTCTTTTTTTTAAATTATTATAACACTCAAAAGTACATCATCAAGTACAAGACATCATCTGTATTCTTTATCCATTTCTGTTTGATCACTACATTGGCTGAGAAGTACGGTGGCTCTTTGTTGAATCTAATTCATTGTATTGAGACATGATGTTAACGGTATGTCCAGAGAGCTTTTACTACTTTGTTTACTGGTCCTTCCTTATTGCCAAGTACACAGCATAAATGAAGGTTTCAACTGCATACCACAAAAAAATTTACTCAAGTTTAACAAAACAAAAATCACAGACAGACGAATAAATGAGATTGCAGTCTTTCTCCTCCCAACCCACGTATTCCATGCTTGACTACAAGTAATCAACAAATAATTTGTAAAAAAAAAGTTCATATAAATTTTACATTACCCACACTGTGGGTTATTTCTATCATTAAACTGACACATACACTCACACTGTATTCTCGGTATGGTCCGAGAAACGTCTGCACTAATAAGTAGGAGGTAGTGGGTTCAAATCCCACGCCAGAAAGCTTGTGATTTTTGTCACAACTCTCAGACTGCACTGAAAATACAGTGGATATACACATCTGTATTAGGGCAAAACATCAATGTCCCGATGCACAGCCAATTTAATTTAAGAAATCAGCCCAAGTGATGCGGCACATTCTAAGGGATGAACAGGAATAGACAAGACTGATGCCATCAAGAGGGCTACTTGACTTCAGTGCCAGATTGCAAGGGACCTTTATTTTAAACATTAAGGTACAGTAATTAAGGTTCAATTTGAATTAATTTGCATAATTTAGTGCAAAGGAGATGACTACATTGTTAATAGTGCACAGCTGATATTTATGACTTAATTGCACTATTCCAGCTCAACTTCATGCAAATTGATGCCAGATTCGTAGCTATGTAGATAAGTTACTGTATTTTTTTAATGTTAGAAATGAATTAGCATAAGGAAATGCTATATCTGTGCTTATTTAAAATGGACATGACCTGGTGTATGATAATAACCAAGGTAAACTATATTTTATTAGAATGGTTCAGGTTGACAGACTCTAAATGAGGGTAAACATGTGGGTAGACTCACCGTCATGTGACGTGATGTGGATAAAGCCACAAACGCCAACTGTAATGCAGAAATTGTGGCCATTGAAAAAAAGGAATTCGGTAGCAAATCAATACAATTTGCAGATTTTTTAATCTATCTATTCCCAGGTAACAAACAAAATGACTATGGCCTGAAATTGTGGTTCAGACGGGAAAAAAATCTGCACTCATTGATATATTATTTGCACGTCTGAATTGAATTGTGAAATGCATGGTGAGATCCACAGGGGGTTCTCACAGCCGGTTTTCTGCTGCCGTGTCATGCACACTGTATGTACATGTACATGTATGTCTGCTCCAGAATGTGCCCTGTAGCACTACAATGTTAATATACATGGGTAAAGACGTTCCAAGTATGTTGTTAGTAGTCTGGGTGTGCCAAAGGGGACTGGTAATAATATATGGGGTGACATGACATTCAAATTCATTTTTATCAGTTTTTTTTCAACTGGCTGTGTTTCCTATCTCATTTCTATGCCTTAGAAATTACACCGATCAATGGCACGTTTTTCAATCATACATTTTTTAAAGACGTTATAATTTTTACAAATATGGCCTTCTTGACTATAAATAATTTCAAATTAAAACAATCATTAATTCAACACTATAGTTTTGCAAAAAGTCAAACTAAAGTGAAACTAACAATTGAACAGTTCTATGTGCGTAATTTTGTGTTCCATGGTAATACAATACCAAAAATTACCCTGGACAATTTTTCATCTTATACTTGTACTCATCATTTGAAGCCAATTCTTCCTTTTTTCAAATACAATTCCAGTAAGCAAGCAGTGAAGTACAGTCTATTTTTAGTTCGACTTCTTTGCCTGAATTCAGAGGGGTTTTGCAACAACTGACTACAAATTCTAGTTAATAATTGAAACCCAGCTTGAATATTGGCAGAGAAGCCTGTGGTTTCGATGTGTTAATGTGCAAAGGGCATGCGATGGCATGATTCACCAGGTCACAACACATGTTGCATTGTCGGCAGCATGCCGTCGCAAATTTTTTATGAATATTTGTCTTGATTTCTTCACGCCCGAAATAATGTGCATATTAACTAAAACCTTCTGCACCACACCTGAAACTGCATTGATTATTAGAATTAATCAAAAACTGCTATACGTACTACAAAAATGTGGCTGATATACGTACATCAGTCATACTTCTTTTTCTCAATCATGTCTTTTGAAGAGAAAAATATCAACTGTCTGGAAGTTTTGCATTATATAAGAAAAGATGGAAACATGCATAAAATCTGGACAATCTCATGATTACAAAAACACATTTGAACAATACATGTGGGTTTTATATATGCAGCCACACACGTGAAAAAATACGGTGCTGGACCCAAGGGACACCACAGAGCCAAGCGTAATCATTGCCACAAGTGCAGCACTAAAGCACAGACACACAGTACATGGCAACCATGTACAATGAATGAATGTGCATGACAGCGAGGTACCGTATCTTGCAGACCAACTAAGATTATCTAATGGGTGCGAAAAATTGGCTGCGAGGCCAATGCATGAAGAGCATGCACCGTACTGACACGTATGTAGGCTGAGCGGGCGTGACAGAATGTCACTTCTAAAAGTGGTGGAAGCGATATGTAGGTTTATGTCCTAACATTTATTCCAGATGCATAGATGGTGGGGAGCAAGAACTAATCAGATTGTCCGTGCTTTTTTGTTTAAGAAAAGGTTATGTGCAGGAAGTAATTATGCCTGACCTTTTCATTTCATTTTCATCTCTTACTGGGGGAAGGTATGGGATCTAGTTTATTTGTACAACTCCAAATTCAAATTTGGTATAGGGGTGCATGACTGGTTGTTAGCCATGCATTAGCACTGACTTTGCTCAGCAATGAAAATTACTTGCATTCTTACAATACTTTGAACATGAAACAATTTAAATATTTCAGTTTTCTTTTGCTGAAAAAAATTTTCTGAATGGGTTGATCCGAGGTTCCTTACCATCATTTCTGAAAGCCCCTCCGCCAGGGGCTCTCCCGAACTTGCTGAGGTGGAGCTGATCCCACTGGTGTCTGAGTCTGTTGGACTGGAGCTACGAGAGTCCCGTGCCCCTGGCCGGTCGATGGGTGAGAAGACGTGCTCCCAGATGCTGGAGGAATCAGAGGACCCGGGACTGCTGATGCTGCCCCCAAAGTGGCGGTGCTGCCCAACACGGTTAAACTCCGGAGAGGCATAGCTCGGGACTGGACTCATGGCAAGGTTTTGTTGCAGCTGCTGCTGTTGTTGCTGTTGTTGCTGTTGCTGCAATTGCTGCTGCATTTGCTGCTGGTACAGGGCCCCGCTCAGGTACTTGTCTATGTTGGAGAGGGTGATGGCATCCTTGGGGTTGGTACAGAGCGTGTAGCCGCTCCAGGTTGGGGAGGACAAGGGTGAATTGAAGAATTGGGCTGAAAACCCCCCACCCCCGCCACCGCCACTTCCCCCACCCCCATTCCCGGGGGACAGGGGAGACAAATTGGCCTGGGGCAGCCCTGTAATTGGGCCGAAGGCTTGGGAGGTCATGTCGCAGGGCAATCCTGTCAGGGGTTTGCTTGTCTGAGGCAGCAGGAGGTTAAGCACATTCCCTGTTGAACGAAACATGGCAAAAGGAATTACAGGCATGGATGAGCTAAGACACTTAATTTCACACAGAGGTTGATGTCCTTGCAAAAGACAGTGCGCCAGTTTGTTGTATAATATTGGTACATTGTGTCAGATTAGTTTGCTGGATTGATGAAGGAGCTCAGGTTTATGCATCCTTAACTATTTTAGATCCCTGAAAATTGAACAAGTTGATGTCTGCCAGATTCTGGGGGCATCTAGCCAGAACATGGCTGAAGCAGCATGTCCCTTCAGCTGTTCCAGTGGGCATATCAAATCAAAGGGAGATGAGTTAATCATAGGTGGATTCAAGGGGTGTGGGGCAATGGCGCCATGGGTCCCCTCAAAAAGGGCCACTTTTCTTCTTTTTTAAGGAATGGAAGGGGGGCAACTTATTTGGACAACCAATATTTCATTACCCTTCCTTCCCAAAGCATGAACCAAGCCCCAGAGAGGCTATAAAAGGTTAAATAAAGAATTTCCTAAATTGTTGGGCCCCCAAAAAATTGTTCCCCCCCCCAACTTTGGGATTTGGATCCATCTTTGGGAATATGTTGAAATTTTGCTGTTATTTATGCATCACTGGATGAATGCAAAGAGGTACCTACAAGACACATGGCATAATTCTGACAATCCAGATGGTTCATGATGACAGTTCTGACCACTTTCCTGTTCAAATCTGCTTTGAACCCAGCCCAATAAATAAATATCAGCAAGTCTGGCCTCAAAGAGGTTATTTATTGGGAATCATGTTGGGCGTTCCCACAATCTTCTCCAGTATTTTTCTAAAGATTTGGAAGACACAAAATCAACCTCTCAAACAATATTGCAAAGTCCCTGACCAAATCGTCAAATTTTCATCTATCTCTATGACCACTCCTCCCCAAATAAAATGCAGATGCCACTCCAATCCCAAATCAGCTTCGTCATTCCCTCAATTTTGTTTTCCATTTAATCCAACTGAAATATCACATGGCATCATTACATTCCCTTCTTTTTGTCTGTGTGGGGAGATTTAAAGGGACATCCCCAGAAAAAAAAAATATCAAGCATCTGCTCTTTGATGATAAACTGCCTTCAGGGAAAATTTGCACACACACAAACTAATTTTGTCTGGATTCGTGATTAAAACCACAATTTGTCACTAAATCTGTATGTGAAAAAAAAAGAGCTGCTTGAATTTTCAACTCAACTCATCTTTCTGCAGCTCAATGAGTGTCAGTGCTGCTAATTGATGTATAACAAGCATTTACCATCTGTTGCTTTATCATCTTCTTGTTTTATGTGGACAATACGTAAAATTTGACAGTGTTGCACGTAAATGCTAAATCACATTAAATAAAACAACCCCGTCATTGAAAAACATGTATACAGTTTTCACATTGGCAAGTACGTGGTAGGAGAAAGAGGATCTCTTGCCAAAAAGACATTCTTAAATTTAACCGAAAAGAGCATTAGTCCACTGCATTTTGGAAATTTCACAGACCATAACAAAAGACTGAAATTAATTGAGTTCCAAGTACTCCTTCTGTGACATTCCATGGTTAAAAAACCTGTTTCTTCAGGCAAACCTTTCTCTTTGAGTGATAACAAAAGAGGAGTGGAATTTTACTTTAGCACACTCAGGCAGTGTAACTTGCCCTGAGGTTCAACCCTGGGACTGAGTTTTCCATGAATACTTTTCTTCCCCAGGACTAGGGGGTGGCTGGAATTATTGATTCATTTGGTAGTGAACTAAAAACAGGCCGAGTGGAATAATTTTACCCAAGCGTACTTCCTTACTGGGGTGCTTGAAATTGCTGTACAGTTGAGTTGTTACTTTTTCTCCGAAGAGAGAATGTCAGTTACATTCACTTCCATGTGAGGAAAAAAATTACATGACAATTGAAGTTCACAATTTAATCATCATGATACATGTACATGTGTGTACTGCTATTTAGACGCTGAATGGGTTAACATTTCACTTTTTCAAGCCTATAAAATTTATGTCAAGTATTTCCCTGCTGTAATCTTGTGAATTCAGGTTTAATGAGTTTCATTTATAACTTTTTAATTCAGCTTTTTGACTATCAAGACAGAAAGTGATGACCCAAAAACTGAATTGAAATGTAAGCCTACTCCAATAAAAATACCCCCTTCAGTTTTGCAAATTTCAGACTTAGGTAAATCAGGGTGTGGTAAATTATTTCTAACTGGAGATAAGAATTACATGTTAACATGGTTATGCCCCTGTGTGGGCGTGTGTGGGTAATTTTTGGGGGGCATACATCACAGGTATTTATATGCAAAAGCTGAGTAGATCTACAGTTTTTTATCTTAAACAGTATTTTTTTCTTCATCAACCAAAACTCTGACAATGCATATGGCATTCAACTACCTTATTCCTTATCCAGTAAAAAAGACTTCAATTAATATACTGCTCATGAATTCCCACCATTTTCAGATGAACAAAAAGAATTTAATAATTCATTTCTAATTATATTTATAAGTAGTGAAAGGCCTTCTGTACTAATCCTAGCAGAATCTTTCTCCAAGGTGACTGTATCAAGTAAAATCAATCAAAAATTCAACAGCATGAAACTTGCCTGGGTCATTTCTGTCTGGTTGCTGCTGCTGCAAACCTGGCGGTGGTAAAAGTCCCTGTAGGGGATTCGCACCGGAGACGCTGGCTCCCGCAAAGGGTCCTCCGTTGAAGTCCCGACCGGTGGCACCCAATGAGGGGGCCCCGTTGCCTGCCGGCTGTTGCTGGTTCATGCAGATGCTACTCTGCAGATCCAGCGAGTTCTCCAACAGCGCGTTGATCTGACGGAACAGCTCCGAGTTGCTGTTGAAGTTTGTCACGGCCGAGGTGGACGGGGCGGTACTGCTGTGGTGGTGGGGGTTCAGGCTTCCGATCAGGGGCGGGGCGGTGGTACTTGTGGGCTCGCTCGTGAATGGGAGAGGAATGCTGCTGTTAGATGACCCGCCGCCTCCTCCACCCCCGCGCGATCCCGGGGCGGCCTCGAACCGTACTCTTTTCTCCGTGCAGCGGGTTGGGGTGTTGCTGCCGTGACGCCCCTCGGTAAACAGCCCTGCTGTCGAGCCGTTCTGGGTCTGTGGCAAACAGAAAGACAACTTTAATACCACCAGTCTATCGATCCCTCAATTATAAGAACAACTGCCTTGACCGACTTGGATGTCAATATTAAATGTAAGGCTGATGTACGGAAGCACTTCTGTCGAGGAGTTGATTTAAGAGTCATATCCACAGACAGCAGCAGCACGAGTTGATCATAACGGAATGACCACGCATACGGAAAGCTCACCAACATTGATTAATGCACACAGCGCCCTTCTCTAGCAAAACATGCACTGAACACCCACGTGGTCTCTGTACGTGTGTGTACATACGTGAATAGAGCACGTGTCCGCAACTTCTATCTCAAATCGTAAAGCGCCCTCTATTGACTGAGATCTGTAACCGTCGGGAAACAACGACACACTAAAAATGTAATTATACTAAGCCTACATTAGTAATAAAGCCTGGTGGCAGTTTCATTTTTAAGGTTATACTTTTTTGTTGTTGTTTTTTTCTTTGGAGTCCAACCATGGCGAAGAAAAGCAAGGATGGATGAACCGCTACTTACTATATTTTATTACTACAGTTTGCCAGCGCTTGATGGTCGGTGTTTCATTTTGTACTTTGTTCAACCGTTGCTATTTTATCTGTTTTCTTGGCTACCGTTTCAGAACCTCACCATTTTTGGATTCATTCTCTGAAACTGCATGATTGCATCGGCCATGGTGACTGTTCCCGGTTGATACAGCCTTATCCGCGACCAGGCTTGAGGATTATACGATCCCTTTGGCTGGAGCAGAGTGGCTGAAATGTGTAGGGTAATGGACTCCTTCTGGTGGACGAAGAGGCAATATCACAGAGTTTCCCTTTCGCGGGCTTTCCTGGCTGTTGTGTCGGGGTCTCACAACAGGCCTCTCTCCGAGCAGGTTGCTAAATGCTGAACGGGTGAATAAGCAGGGCTTGTTTTATACCGATATGCAAATCACCTTGAGCACGATTATTAGAACCCGGTTGGCCACGGCTCTCATACTTACGTAACTCTGCAAGTTTGTATTCAGACACCGCGGATAACAGGTCCAAAATGGACTCTTCTCAGAGTCAGTGAATAATCTGCGATCAACCTTAACATAAGCTGCTGGCGAGATCACACAAGGATCTAGGCGTTTGCCAAAGTTGTTTTCGGAATGCATTGTTTTGTCACTTTTCTCCCGCTGCGATTTTGTTCCTGAAAAATAAGGGCAACGCCATGCTGAGATCCTTTGCACTGACGCGGAATTAGGTTAATAGAAACAATGTGAGTTACATCTTTCGAAAGAAGCAAATGCAGTACTGCAGGCCACACTCTCATTATTTCATTCGAACAGAAGTGTGTACATTCCACAAATGGCGCATGTGTAGATTAAAGACTTGAGACAACTGGCAGAGGCACAAATGAAGAAAAAAATAACAAAATCCTTGGCAAACGCCTCATATTCCACCGTCGAGCGTGTGCAAAGGAGTTTCAAATGGACTTTGGAGATGACTTAGAATGCTCCAGACGGCGACGGCAAACCAGTAAGTTGTGTTCACTTCCAAGAGGGTGGATTTTAAAGCTATTGCCTGAATAAACAATAATTATTACAAAGTGAAAGAAAAATAGGTCTGATGACTGATCTTGATTTTTTCTAAATACAAACATTTTCCTTATTTACGACTTTCATGAATTCAGCGTTCCCACGATTTACCAGATACGTTAGCAATCGTCGACCAGGGTTTAGCCGGTAATTCAAACTATGAGATCGGACTTCGGAGGATTAAGATGATGCTCGGTGCAACCGACTACAGCTCGACCATCACGGTAAGATACGGTTTTAGCATCTCATTATTTTATGAGTTACATCTATACTTTCGAAAAGGATGGAAATTCTTTCCCCTTGATTAAAATGATTGTAATTACATGTATGTGTCTCTTCTTTTCAAGTTATTTTTCAATTTTTATATTTATTTATTATTTTTTGTAGTCGGTGATTGCACTTCATCTGGCTTATTTGAAGAGGCCGTGGCCCTTGGCCCTGGACTGTTTGCGAAGAAGAGCTGACATGCTCGCTATCACCACAGCACCGCTAAAATATAACTACCAACAAATATAAAAATACCTACTGCCACTTGTCGTATTTGAAGTCAGTCACTTCGTGTTAAGTTGGTTCTTTTTAACATTATAATTATTATGATCTCGAGCTCCAAGGGGCCAGATCTCTGCGGCCCAGAATCAGTTCCTGGACCCCGGCGGGTTGCAGGAGCCTGCCCTTGGTTTGAGTCTATCACCACGGACGGAACCCAGATTATGCGTAACAGAGGAGGACACTGGTTGACTGTCTAAGGGGACAAACGGTGAAATCAAGCTGCTGGATGGCAAGAATAAGGGTCTTAACCATAAGTTGACGAGGAGGGACGATCAACAGGCCCCGGGTTCGGCTTCCAGTGATGCACCAGTATTGAGGTTCGAGAGACTATGGACTCTTCTCCGTGGCCTATATGCCATTGCGGTGACTTTCGGGGGGGGGGCGAACAGGCTGTCTTCGATGAGAAGGAACTGGCCGTGAGGAAGCAAATTATTTTTTTTGGGGGGGGGGCGGAACC